ACATTCAGTTTGAAGGTTAGTATCGACTACTTCACTGTTATTTCCATTCAGTCTCACCTTCACGTATCACGCCATTATGTTCTTGTTCTCGTCTCTGCCACACTAGTCACGTGGACAATTAACAAATTCAATTCTCATTCAATCGCAATTTTATTCTTCACTATATTTAAAACATTTACTCGAGGATGTCGATACCGAGTATGAAACGACATTCAATATACAAAAATCACTCCTGAGCAGCCGTGTGAATTGAAGCAGGAAAGCCTCTCATCTACTTATATAAGACCACATCAAATTCAAGTAAATCAAAGTTGACTGTACGGTCTTTCAGCATGAAGTCGACAATAAGGAAGTAGGACTTTCAGGACAGCCCGAAGATGAATAAGAAATACTTCAGCTATGCATTAGTAAGTGTGGATTTCATGAGGACCTAAGCACACATAGAAGTAGTCAATCTAAGAAGAACCAAATATCAAGAAGCTAAGGTGAACTGTGAAGTGTGCGCTAATAGTGAAACTGCAAGAGTATGAGGAGTGCACCTGTGGTGATTGACTATTTCTATCTCTGTATTCTTTAAATACTTACTGTTGATTGTTAATATATTTCTTATTTGAACTGAATAATAATTCCGCTAAATACAAATTCCTGAATTCCGCCATCTCTGTGTTTTGGTTGGATTCTTGTAATTCGGTCATCTCGAAATACTACTACTACGATTACAAATAATTACAACACAACCGAACTAAATAACCTTGGAAAATTTCCTATAAGTTGTTCTCCGCGGGAGATTGCTGATTAACTTGAATGCTTTGATGCATGGTTCATTTCAAAGAACGTTCGGGATCACAAAATACCAGCACATTTCATCACTGCTATTGGGCTAGATAAATATAGCCTGGTGAAGAATCTGCCATTTCCAAATAAACCTATTTCTCTGTCATATGACAAGATTCGTGAACTTCTGATAAATCACTTTCATATAACTACTTTTGAGACGAGAGAGAGGGCTCAATTCAATAAACTGGTTCGTGCTCCCAACCAGAAGATTAGAGACTTTATTCTTCAACTTCAAATTCAAGCTTCAAAGTGTAATTTTGGAGATCAGCTGAATACTCAACTACGTGATCGTCATATTGCTGGAATCAATATTCCTAAGTTAGAGAAAGAGTTAATTCAGATTCCTTCTTGTACCTTTCAAACTGCTAAAGATTTATGTATTACATATGAAGATGTCAACAGTGAATACTCTGCTCCCATTACGTCAGTATCTGATGTCATGTTGTCCAAAGTCGAAAATACAAGTGATCATGGAAACCAATCCAAATTGTCGTCCACAGGTAACAGAATGCAGCGAGAGATCGAAAACATTAAACCGTGTTTATCCTGTGGAAAGTTACATCTGCGAAGCACTTGCCGTTTTCGGAGTGCTAAGTGTCACAAATATGGTAAAGTTGGACACATCAAGACTGTTTGCAGAAGTTCGAATACTTATGTTACTCAGAACCCTGATAATTCTTCCAATTTATCTGGTAAAATGCAGTCGATGTCTCTTTCAACTTTTCCCAATACTCCATCTCATCTAATGAGAACCTTCACTACAAGTTCAGGAGTTGATAAGATGAAATCATTAGCACGCCTAGCATGCTGGTGGCCGGAAATTGATACTGACATTAACAAAACATCAAAGAGCTGTTCTAGCTATTGAATTGAATTTTTGATTTTCCCGTCGATTGATTGGACCGAAGTGCTCGGTCTCAGGTTGACATGTCGGCTTCTTGTGCAGATGCTTCGACGATGTCTGGGGATTTGATTTGTATACAATTGGTGGATGGTGGCTAGCAGTGGAATCCAGGATGCGTATTTCGTCCTATTTGGGACTCGTCAGCTGGGTTCGAGCCTCGGTGGGAACATCATCACTCACTGAGAAATGTAGGTACATCCAGCTGACGAATCCCAAATAGGACGAAATGCGCATCCTGGATTCCACTGCTAGCCACCATCCACCAATTGTATACAAGCTGTTCTAGCTGTTTACATAAAATGTCCTATGGGAAGTCATCGTGGACACCGTGGCCTGCATCTTGTGAGGTTTGGCAGCGTATTCATGCAGATTACTGTGGTCCATTCCTCAATTCATATTATGCTTTAGTTATTGTGTATTCTTATTCTAGATGGCCAGAAGTCATCATTACAGATAGTCCTAATGCCAAATTCACTCACAGAACGTTGAGAAAGATTTTTAGTCGAGAAGGAATTCCAGATGTCTTAGTTACTGACAATGGTACTCATTTTACGGAGAAGAACTTCAATGATTGACTCACTTCAAACTGTCACTTCAAACTGCCGTTCACTTCCCAACAAAATTATGCACCTCCAGTCTCTTTTATCATCTGATACTTATCACAATACGGCGATTGTTGCATTACAAGAAACATGGCTCCATGAACTCTATGATGACAATCTAGTTTCCCTAAATGGTTATACACTGTTTAGACAAGATCTACTATGCGCCAGAAAGTAAAGTAAGCAACTTTCGTTCATTCTCAATGGTCATTTTCAAATAATGTATGCTTTTCTTTTTCTAGTGACTTTATTGATTGTATAACAGTCAAATGACGCCCGAAACACTTATCCAAGTTTAAATACGTCTTCATCTCAAACATTTATGTTACTCCTGGCTGTTCTACCTCGGATCTATCTGATTTTGCTGATGAATTCACTGATTTCGCCGTTACACATCTTGAAAACTCTTTATCAGTTGTCACAGGAGATTTTAACTGCTGTGATTGTTCTTTCCTCGTATCATTAGGTCATGCCAATATTGTTAAATTCCCTACTCGACTTGATAAAACCCTTGACCTAGTGTTCATTAATGATGAGGAAATATATGAAGTACGCCGACGTGCTCCTATCATGAACTCAGATCATTGTATTATTCGGATATTACCTAAGATATACACTTTAATATCTTCTCAAATCTGTCCAAGAAAACACAGCAAAGATGTTACTCACAAGAAAATATGCTCAAACTAAGATGCATGCTAAGTGACACAAACTGGGAACTTTTCAACGAACACAAACTGGGAACTTTTCAACGAACACAAACTGGATGATACTATATACTATACTATGATACTATACAAAATTTCACAGTAATAAAGGAAACTGAGTTGGTAATTTCGTCAGATAACGGTGAATAAACAGTCATTTAACTGGTAGGTACTGTGTTTCAAGTTACTTATTTAGCCCATCATTTCCTGACTGAATTTTGTCATTTTTAATTTCCAGGTTATGGTTTTCAATTCCGCAATCACTCAATACATTTAGACATTCTAATTGGGATTAAAAACAATAATATTTGTGTAATTGATGAAATATTTGTGATATTATGAGTGTATTTGTTGAAATAAATATTTTTTTTAAAATCTTGCACCTTATTCGTACACTAATAATAGTTACTGTTTGTCGAGTTGCAAATTGATGCTAGTGTAGAAGACATAATATTGGTAAAGTGCCATATTTACATCTGGTTGAAGTTAGACACAATGCGGGTACTGTTATCGCTTTCGCTAGTAAACCTTAAACAGGCGATATGCACAACAAAAGCCTATCTAGTGCATTACAGTATCTTATGATAACAAAGTAATCAATCAAATTTAGTGACGTGATCAACTAATGCACGAGTCTGAGTGTTAATGTGATCATGTAAGAGCCTATTGATACGAAATGATAGCACAAGAAGAGTAATGTAGTTATCTCTTTATAACGCAATGATTTCCTTTGAGGAAGTGGTGTAAACGCAACATAAGAATAGCAGACTATTCGTGATAAATAGGATATACGTTGCATAGTGCGCATGAAGTGCCTAGACTACCACTACAAGTCGTGTACGTATAGAACCCATATTTGCTAGGTTATGTTTCGTTATTACAGTGCGAAAACATGTTTGACGGCTACTTTCTTACCAATCGCGAATACCAATATTATACGCAACTGAAACACTTTACGCAAGGCTTGATGATGCATTGATGAAATAGTAATATTTTAAGACTGATGCATTTCACATAAGTATTAATACGTTGCCTACCATATTCTCGTTAGCTCTGCAATGTCGTCAAAATGATAAGTGAAAGAGACAAAGTTAGTCGACATAAATGCATATATTTGTAAGGAAACAATAATCAATCAAGTTAAAAATGACTCAGAATGAAAGAGTACATGTCGACACTAAAGAGAGTTAATAGCAATCCAGTGAAAAAATCACTGTTGCAGCTTTTTTGTAGCTGCATCAAAGTCATCATTAAGTCCACCAAACTCTCTATCCACAACATTTGTATCTGTTTGCCTCCGTTGTTAGTGGTGTTGAACCAGTCTTTGCAGTTTTCGTCACCAGATCCGTTCGCAGAAACTGGATGTGTGTTGAGTACGTAACAATGTGATTGTACACTTTTTGGTTACTTGTACAAATTCGAGATATTGTACATAATTTTTTTTAAAACGCTTCTTGTTGAAATATACATAACTTCCGTGTACAATTGAAAAATACACTCTGCTGTTGGAGACTTCGTCTTCTCCCTGGTCACTTCTGTTTACTTGCTCCATTCACACCGTGTTGTATACTTCGGATTTATTGTAGGAGCCTACTAATCTCAACCGAAGACATTTCTACAACCGGAACACAGCAGCTACAGCAGACGCAGTCCTAACAATTAACGTGCCCGTGGATTATATAATTAATTTGTAGCCGAGGACTTAGACGTTATCTACAAGTAATCCTTTTCGTTGCTATAACTCGTCACTGTATTTTTGGTAATATATTGTGATTTAACACTCCACTGACTTGGATTATTACTTTTATACTTGGAATTTTAGTGAACTCTAATATTAGTCCCCTACATGTGAACTTTTCAAGCAGAGATTGAGATTGTATTCCTTCGAATGCCTTCAGCCATACTGAGAAAATTCTGAGGATGTATACATATCAGGTAAATTAATCTTACCTCTGGTGAACAATTCCTAATCTTAGCAACACTGAATATGTGAACAAAGCAAGGAACAACCACAGAGTTGGTGAGATTCCATAGATTACTCGTCCATATATTCCACGATATATTTCAGGAATCGTGTAACTTCCAAACCACCTATCACATTTTCTCTTCTATAAAAAGCAAATATTATACACGTGACTCTTATCCATCCGTTACAATTAGCTGAAAGAGATAAAATCTTCAAACTTTATATTTCTTTGATTAAGTTACCCAGTAATATTCTCCTTGTAAGTGGATCTAATGCTTCTCACATCTGTGAAATTTATAAGCATGTTAACTTGGTCCCTTAAGCTAAAAAATATAATGTCTATCCGCTTTTATTATTGCCATTTCAAAGCCCGCTTCAGTAACGTAAGGCCCGTATTAGCCGCAACGTTTACGCAAAGGAAAATCTACCAATCCAATATCCAATATCCTGATGACGAGCTAGTATAAACCAGTGATTTCTTTGAGCTCGCTTCTTGATTGTGAGGTAGAGGTTCCAGATCTTCGGTGAGCTTCTGCGTAGTAAGTCCCGACACTCGACTGCTTTAGCTCTGGTAGACTCCAGGAGGAGTGGTGCGGGGATTGGTCGAGATGTGGTTTGTAGTATGCAGTATGTTAGGACTGTATTGCTGCCGTGAATGGAGTTTGACCTAACTCCCCTTGGTCATTCGGTGTAGTCATAAAAGCAGAATAGTAATAATAATAATAATAATAGTTGTAGTGTAGATAATATAGGTTGAGATAAGTGGAATAATAAAGGTGACATAAGGAAAAGATAGAGTGAGAGAAGGCAGAATAGGTCGTGGGGATTTAGTTAGTACGCTTATTCATTGACAGTTTGGTTTCAAATTTTATGAGGATAAGCCATTGAGACACAAACCTTGCATTTCTGCATGATTGTCTAGCTTCCGCTTAAAAATCTCCACAGATGGCGCTGTAGTCACGGCCGCCGGTAAAGCGTTCCAGAGACGGCAAACACGAAGCGAAAAGAAATGTGATCGCACTCGAGTCTTTGGTCTCTGGTGTGCTATCCTTAGCGGGTTACCTCGTGGAAGCCTATAATCGCTTAATGGCAGGATGCTTTTATTTGGGTGGGCCTGGTCATTTAGGATCTTGTAGACGGTGATGAGGTCTCCCCTGTGCCTACGGTAACTGAGTGTGAAAAGACCTAATTTCTTTAGTCTTTCCTCATATGATTTGTTGCGGAGGCCGATCACCCATTTTGTCGCTCGTCTCTGGACACTTTCTAGAATGTTAGCATCCCTTTTGAGTAGCGGAGGTGCAATGATATTATGCACCTCAAGGTGTGGCCTCACATATGCCTTGTATAGCCTTAAGAACAGTTCGGGAGTGAGAGCTCCCAGCTGCCTGTGCATAAAGTGTAATGTTGCGTAGGCTTTGGCGACGTCCCTCGAGTAATTTCCACTGGTGTCTAGCTTTTCTGTTAGAATAAGACCTAGATCACGCTCTGATGGAACACAACTCAAGTTCTGGCCACCAAGGGTGTAATTTACACTCTGTGACCTGCCGGAATGAAGCTGCACTACTTTGCACTTCTTTAGATTGAAAGGCATTCCGTTAGCCAAAGCCCAATTTCCCAGAGTTTGCAGGTCAGCCTGCAATCTATCTGAGTCTTCCGATGAGTTTATTGCTCTCCAAATCTTTACGTCGTCAGCGTAAAGAAGCGCAGAGCAGTTTAGTTGGGGGGGCAGGTCATTGATAAAAATCAAAAACATCAACGGCCCTAGGATAGAACCCTGAGGAACCCCTGATGCCGAGGTGTGCCAAGATGATCGGATGCGGTTGACTTTGGTGCAGAATTCTCTCTCGCCTAAGTAATCTGTCAGCCATGCGAGAAGTGCTCCAGAAACTCCCGCCTTGCCTATTTTGTGAAGGAGCAGACCATGGTGAACTGTGTCGAATGCTTTCGCAAAGTCGAGAAAGATCACGTGGGCTGGTACCTTTTTGTCCCAGGTTAGTGTCCAATCGTTCCAGGCTAGTAGAAGATTCGTCACGCAGGATCTTCCCCTCCTGAAACCGTGCTGTGCTTCGTGAAGAAGGTTAGTCCCATCGAAGTATTTTCTCATGTGGTCGTCAATGAGACTTTCCAATATCTTCGATACCACTGGAAGTAGAGCAACTGGTCTGTAACTGGTCACATTCTGCCGGTCACCACCCTTGAAGATAGGGGATAGGATTGCACGTTTCCATTCACATGGAAGTTTCCCTACATCAAGGGAGTGTTGAAACAGATCACTTAGGGGTTGACAGAGACTTTCTGAACACTGCTTCAGGACAGATGGTCTGATGCCATCACAACCAATCACAGCTTGCATAAGTGACCTTCAAGTGCTCAGCCTCTCCATAAGCCATTTGTGCCGCTATCCTTTCTCACCAAGCTGCGGAAGGCACTTAATATTACCAACTTCCTCCTTCTGGTGTGTTAATACCAAATCTAGAGTAGATGGGTCATGCCCAGGGTGATACCATGTTGGTGCATGCATATGTTGCACGAGTGCACATTCAAGCACTGCCAATGCGAGCTTCCTATTGAAACAGGTATACAAATTAGTGGAGTTTAATTCCCCCCAATTAATATGTGGGCATTAAAGTCGCCAACAATCAGACACCTATTTCTACTACCTCACGCACTTCAAGTGACTTAGAACGAAGTCATCAGCTTGGCTAGCAGGACTTCTGTGAATTACTCGGATCGTTACAGTTGATGACGCAACTTGCGGTTTCACTGGTGCCGCTATCATGAGCTTATGACAACGTTGACCCGATCCCTATGTCGTCCCGGACCTACAGAGCAACCCTTCAACCTTTCCAACTACTTATTCTGTCTGCTCTAATGCAGATATACCCAGGTATGAGTGGAGTTAAGTTTATACCCACTAACAACCATGTCTCAGTGATGGCAATCACATCAGGTTGTATTCTTTCATATAATTCTCCTAATTTGGCAAGCCTTTTCCTAAGACTGCATGCACATCGAAACACCTACGTGTTCATCCGGCATATGAAGAGAGGCCTCGGTAGCATCGGTTTCCAAGACCTCACCACCTGAAAAGCCAATAGCTTCAGGTCTTTTTCACCTTTCTCTAGCCTGGCCCTTAGTTCAGTCACAGCTTCTCTTCTTTTGACTCCATCTTCTCAGGGCCAATCAGGCCCTATTTTTAAACTTTTATCGTTGATTTTGAACGCGTTGTTGAGGATGGTGCTCCTCTCTGTTTCGTTCCCTTAAGTAGAGGTCCAGAAGTTTCTGCAGCATCAGGGTTTCGTTTTCCGATCATGATGGCCTTTCCTATGTCCACTCCAATTGTTTTTCTGGAAGTACTTCCTGGATAATGGAGCTAATCGCCTTCAGATGATCTGCATGTCGGGCAGCTGGATCTGTGCACTTAGATTTCTCCGAATTCCAGATGACAACATTGTAACCAGAGTCCGTGGGTTTCTGAGTTTGACTGGTACTAATAGCCGTCGAGACCTTGTTGGTAAACTCGGCTACTTTTTCTTCCTTAGGTTTGTTTTGCTTCTTACCTTTTGGGCACTAACCAAGTGGAGTCGGTTTCTCCTACTCTGTCTTCTCCGCGACTAGAAGCCATTCGTGCACTAGACACGCTGCGCTTTGGCGTGGCCATTTCACAGGCTGGTGTTGCCATGCTGGCACTACTTGCCCTTTTGGATTTCTGTTGTTTTTTGCACTTTACAACAACAGATATTTGGGTACTCTGTGCTTCTTTTGCTTCTGAGGCTTCAGGAGGTGATACACCCTCAGTCTTACAACTAAGTCCTGAACCGCCATCCTTGGCTAAGGTTTCTGTTGCAAGCTCATCAATTATGTCTTTCGACAATTTCTTGGACATCAAGAGTCCTACTGCCCTTTGGATGAGGACATCCAACGGGTTACTGCAAAATTTTTGGCTTTTCGATTGGTGCGCTGCAATCACTTAGTGACATGAAACTCATTTATCTGGTACATCTAACCACGAAGTTTTGGAAATTATTGCAATCCGTTTACTTTAAAACAGCAAACACGTGGACATAATCTTGTTGACTACTAATACTTATAGGAAACTGTTTGACATTTTGTTACCTTTTAACGCTAACTCATATCTGTAATTGTATATATTGTTGGATTTACATATTCAGGTTGGCCCAAGTCAGTGAGTCTATGGTTTCGGTATCATTTTAGTTAACTGTGCTTAACTGCATTGCATGTTGTTGTATTGTATTGTTGATGTCGCTTGTTGCTCTTTTTGCTGTGAATTATTTTCTCTTGCTGGTGTTGTCCTGATTGTATTATTCCTTGTATTCCTTGTTTTCTGGCTTTAAAAAGAGCAGCCCAAGAGGTCGCTCCTCTCCAAACTTTATCTTGATGTAACAATTCTTTCTCAGGTCTGAGGCTAGCAACCCCACTCCGTAAACAAAGTTGCTGCAGAAACTTCAGCATGATGAACCTCTTTGCACCAAAATAAAAAGTCTATGTGGGAACATGGAACGTCCGCGCTATGTACGAGATCGGTAAAGCTGCCCAGATCGCAAACGAGATGAAAAGATACGAAATCCAAGTACTGGGAATATGTGAAATCAGATGGAATGGGAACAGGCTCACTAAATTGTCAACGGCTGCGTCAGTGATCTACTCCGGTCACCCAGAAGATAACCACACGCGCACTGAAGGTGTGGCTAACATGATGTCAGCAGAAGCAACAAAGGCCCTGATGCCATGGGAGGCGATCTCGTCCAGGATAATGACCGCCAGATTCAACTCCAAAGGAAGGAAAGTGTCAATTATAAAATGCTATGCACCCACAAACAACGAAGACATCGAAAAGAAAGAAGAATTCTACAGACAACTACAGGCAACTATGGACAATACTCCAGCTGATGACATCATATAATAATAATTTATATTTTCATATAAACGTATAAATTTACATGAAAATGCATGCCATTTTTACAGGCACGATCAAGGATGATATCATCTCAAATCTTAGATTGTCTACAAGTTAATTATGTTTAAACAGTGAAATATTTGATATATATATAATTACACTCATTGTCTGAGCCAGGCCGTATAGTTATTGAATTGTACAGTTGTCCTCCAGGTTTCGCGGGA